TTTCTCAAAGTCTGGTTCAGGACCACCTGTGCAGTTCTAGGGTCCTACCACAGACCTACTGAATCAGAATCTCTGTGGGGGGGGAGAGGGAATATTGTTCACATTAGTGCACATCCCTTATTCCACTTGTGCTGTGTATGCTATTGATCATGCTGAATCTCGTTATATTTATAGCCCAATCCTTTGACAAGTACAGATTTGTGTGTTGATATAAAAATGAATTGCTGTTGATATAAGAAGTGTAGAAAGCAGTTGATGTGCTATTGTAGGCTACCAGGATACAAACACACCTTCACCACCTGAACAACCCATGGGCTGAAGTTCTCCAAGAATGACCTCTTAAACAGTGCTGCGGACGTTGGTCGCACTTTGTAATCACCTGGGAAATGATAAAAATCCTATGTCCAACCCATGAGATTCTGATTTAATTGATTTGGGGGACAGGGGTTTTTAAAGACCCCCAGGAGATTCTAAGCGCAGGGCCAAGGTTGAAGACCACTGTTTTAAGTAGTGGTAAATTCTATCAAATTTTTTTCTTGTAAACTAACTGTTGCTAAATTGTTCCTTCTGGCAAAAGATGGTAGCCTTCAAAGCAGTTTTTTCTCAAAGTGTGGTCCCAGGACCAGCAGCATCAGGATCATGTGTGAATTCTTAGAAATGAAATTCTCTGCTCTACCCCAGACCTACAGAATCAGACTAAGAGGAGTGGGAGACTAGCAGTGTTTAAATAAGCTCTCCAGGGGATTCAAAGGACAAGTGAGTTTGAGAACCACTGCTTTAAAGTGAGAAGAGAAGCACTGTGTACGAGAAATGTATCACAAAGCAAACTGAAAAAGAACAGACCCAGTTAATTATTAGATGTTATCTGTTCAAAAGACTGCTTGATTCACAATCAACTTGAGAAGATATTTCTACCGTTTGGGCACAGCCTCCAGGTTCGTGGCTTGGCTGGGTTCCAAAGGTAACAAGCTTAACCCCCTATTTCCTAAGTGTTTTTCAGGCCCTTCCTTGAACAGGTTCTGTTTTGCAGAGCAAGTGGAGTTATTTGCTTTCCTGCAATCTCTCTGTTGACTATTCCCATCCCCCACCAGTGGCTGCTGACATCGACCCTGCCCAAGTAGAGGCTTGCAACCAAAATCTGCTGAGATCTTTTAATGTCGTTATGCTAGAGAAGGAAGAAGAGGGTTTGATTCTTATTTTCCTAAAAACTTCCTGCTGTTACCCTAAACCACAGACTTCAGTCTTGTGTTGCCTTTAGGAAGGAAAACAGCACCTGTGTTGATCAAATATCTGAAGTGAGTTAACCCATTTTCTGCCCCCTCCATGCAAATTAGGTGAGAACAGTCCAGGAACAAGGCATCTCCAACAAAGACAAGGCTAAGGGTCCCAGTGGGTCTGAGCAGAGAGCAGGCTTTTTACCCTCTGGAATCTTCACAGAGAAGATGCAGCTTCATTTTTCACCATATTCCTATGTGGTCGAAACTTCTATGTGGCAAAACTTTTGGTTCTGGAGGAACGGTTAACCATTGTCTCCTAGTCACTCTCTACTTAGAAGGAAGCGATTTCCTCTGCTGGATGGTAAAAAAGGAGTGAGAGAGACTGATTGGGTGAGTCTAGCAAGTATGTAGCTTTGTTGGGTCTTTCTGAAGCTGAGTTTTACCTGTTGAGTGGAGAAAATATTTCTCCAGTGTTTTCCCACTAGGCTGAACTGACTCACCATTTTCATCTCTAATCCCATGATGAAATATTTGATAAACTAAACCATAAAATTAATGCTATATGAGACTGTGTATGCTTTCAAAAACATTTTCATTCGTGTTTGAAGTTACCCCCTGCCTCCAGCTGCAAGGTCCAGGGCTCTGCATTCTGCTCCCACTACATTGACTTCCAGTGCAGAGTGAAGGAAGAACTGGCCCCAGGGCTCCCGTTTGGCAGCCAGACGTGCACCCTGGCACCCAGCTACCCTCTTTACGACCCAGGCAAGATGGTGCTCCTACCCGTTCACAACTCTACATCTGGTACCAGGCCTGAGGAACAGTCCCAGGTCTGCTCAGGGTATGATTCCTAGTGGGCAGAGTCAGTGGGCAGCAATCCCTTCCCATCCACTGAAAGCCTGCCATTTCTCATTACGGCAGCGGCAGCAGGGACAGCTCTCTTGGGAGAGTCAGGCAAATTGATGCCCATCAGAGACTGGCAGAGCTGAAGGAAGGTGTGAACTGCATTAGAGGGGAAGGAGAATCCATTTTAAAGCTTAGCACAGTGACTGAGGAAGCTGTTTCACCTGCTGGTGGAATTTTCTCTGAATGTTCTGCTTCAGCTTTCATCCCTAAGAACTCCTCACAAAGACCTTTCATGTTCTTTCCGCCCACCCATGCTGCCTTTTCCTAGGTACCAGCCTCACAACAAACTCATTAAAGTGGCCCCAGGGAACAAGTCTTGAAAAGCTCTTTATAATAGGTTTGCCAGATACGATACAGGAAGCTCAGTGAAATTTGTATTGCAGATGGACAACAAATAATTTGTCAGTATAAGTGTGTCCCCAATTTTTCAAATATATTAACAAGTTATTTGTTTTTTATTTGAAACTCAGATTTCACTGGGTGTCTTTATATTTTTATTTGCTGGATCCGGCAACCCTACGTAAGAGATGAACGACAGGAAAAAGCGCATGACAGATTGTGACCTTGCTCCGGCTGTTCACAAGTCCACCAGTAATAGTTTTTACGAGAAGAGAAACACTGTACTCACCATATCGGCACCTGTACTGACAGACTCCATTTTTCCCTCCCAGCAGCTCCAGAAAGGAATCAAAGTAGCTGTTGACAGATTCAAAGCTGCCCCGGATGTGCCGTAGGCCCCAGTCTGAATAGGACTCCTCTGCATCAGGGCTGGTGTCACTCTGAGCCAGGCCATCCCCCAGACTGAGCCACAAAATCAAGAAGCCAGTGGCCAGCTTCATCCTGTAGTCAGGTAGTACTGAGGTCTTTCCTCAAACCTCAGCCAGTGTCCCAGGAAGTCCAGATACACAGCCTTCCAGCCAAATGTCAGGCAGGACTGGAAAAGGAATTATCTGGAACATTCAATCTGTGTGTTCCCCGGAGGTGGACTTTAAACATAGCTATGGAGGCTGGGATGAGATCAGGCTAATAAGAAAGGGCAAAGGTTAGGCAGTGGGAGGGCCTGTCTGAGGGATGGCCAGTGAGAGAGAACACTTCAAAGTGGATCCCACAGCCTGGAGGAGGGAGATGTTGGCCAACTTTGAGAAGGCATGAGCAGTGGAACAATTGGAATTCTACCCCCAACCAGCTTGTTAACCTATTGATCAGTTAGTTTGGTCCTTCAGGGCCAGCCTCTTGACAGAAGAGCTTGTCCCAGGGTGCCAGCCCCAACCCTAAGCCAGTCACCTACCCACAGTCTCTAGGGAGATTCAGGAGAATATATAAAAGGCTCAGGAAAACCCCAGTGTGGGTGGGTTAAGAATGTCACCAATGGTCAGGACATTGACAGAGAGAGTGTGCTTGAAGTGTGCATGGAGTGGGCATTCAGATATGGAACCCCAGCTTCTGCTTGGTCCCTATCTGGCTCTCAGACTCAGTCCTGTAATCTGACCCAGCTCCTAATTGTAACCATCCTTGTGCTGGGACATTTTTGCCTCTTTATTTATGGCAATGTTTTCATTTATACTCAACAGTGTCTGATAGCTACAGATTGCCCAGAGATGGTACTGGGGAACTCAGTATTTTTGCATTGAGTGGCTCAAAAGTCAGAGGGTTTATCAGAAACACTACTTGAAATTTTAGGCTTTAAGACTATTGGCTGAAGTCTAGTGTTTTGGCATCACTTTTAGTTTATACTTTGCTTTAAGTCACATGAGGAAATAAGTTCCATCCATTAAATCACTAGTCTATAAAAACGATAACTTTGAAAGCCCCATAGAAAATAATGAATTAAATTTCTTCATTTTAGATAAGAAATGTATTTGTCTAAAGACCCAGACTCTAACAATTCAAAAAGAAACCCAACTTGATCAAAAAATGGCCAGAGGACATGAACAGACATTTTCCCAGAGAAGATATACAGATGGCCAATAGGCACATGAAGAGATGTTCAACATCACTAATTATTAGGGAAATGCTAATCAAAACTACAATGAGATATCACCTTACACCCATTAGAATGTCAAAAATATCTAAAACAAATAGTAACAAATGTTGGAGAGGTTGTGGGGAAAAAGGAACCCTCATACACTGCTGGTGGGAATGCAAACTGGTGCAGCCACTATGGAAAACAGTATGGAGATTCCTCAAAAAATTAAAAATAGAACTACCATCCAGCTATCCCACTACTGGGTATCTATCCAAAGAGCTTGAAGACAGCAATTTGAAAAGTCCCATGCACCCCAATGTTCATTGCAGCATTATTTACAATAACCAAGATGTGGAAGCAACCTAAGTGCCCATCAACAGATGAATGGATAAAGATGTGGTATGTATATACAACGGAATACTACTCAGCCATAGAAAAGAATAAAATCATCCCATTTGCAACAACATGGATGGACCTTGAGGGAATTATGTTAAGTGAAATAAGCCAGATAGAGAAGGATAATCTCTGTATGACTCCACTCATATGAGGAATTTAAAAATGTAGACAAAGAGAACAGATTAGTGGCTACCAGGGGAAAGGTGGGGTGAGGGGTGGGCACAAAGGGTGAAGGGGTGCGCCTACAACACGACTGACAGACAATAATGTACAACTGAAATTTCACAAGACTGTAACCTATCATTAACTCAATAAAAAACTTAGAAAAACAAACTACAATGAGATATCACCTCACACCCGTCAGAATTCTTACCAGCTACAATCATAGGTTCTTTACTCGCCACACAAGCGTGCCCAAATAAAAACTGGAACACCAGGCTTATGGCAAGGAAAGGGTTTTTATTTCAAGTGACATCAGCCAAGAGACTAGAGTGAGCCCTCAAATTTATCTATCACCCCAAGAGATGGGAGGTCAGGAGTTTTAAAGGTTGCAAGGAATGCAGCTGCTTGTAGGGAGGGGGAGCCTGTGGCCTTGCTAAGTGGAGTTTTCCTAGCAGCCTGTATTTGGGCTGGTGAGTTTGCTTGTAGACGGGACGATGGTAAGATAAGGGAATCTGCAGGTAGATATCCTTGGTTGTCTTCCTCTGTGGTGGATGGTGGATTCTGGTGCCAGGAAGCCAGGGAGTAAGCAGGGAAAGGAGATGAGCATTTTGATTTTAACCCTATATATGTTGAGTTTAATGTAGGGGAACTGATATCAGCGCTGGTATCAGAATGGCTATAATTAACAGACAAAAATTAAGCATTGGAGAGGATGTAGAGAGAAGGGAACCCTCAGACACTGCTGGTGGGAATGCAAACTGGTGCAGCCATTATGGAAAACAATATGGAGTTTTCTCAGAAAATTAAGAATAGATCTACCATATGATCCAGCTATTCCACTGCTGGGTATTTATCCAAAGAACTTGAAAACACTAATGCAAAAAGATACATGCACCCCTATGTTCACTGCAGCCTTATTCACAATAGCCAAGACTTGGAAGCAACCTAGGTGCCCATCAAGGGACGAATGGATAAAGAAGATGTGGTATACATATATATATATATACAATGGAATACTACTCAGCCATAAGAAATGATGAAATCTGGCCATTTGTGACAACATGGATGGAGCTTGAGGGTATTATGCTAAGTGAAATGTGTCACAGGGAGAAAGTCAAATACCATATGATCTCACTCATAAGTAGAAGGTAAAAACAATGACAAACACAGCAACAGAGATTGGATTGGTGGTTACCAGAGGGGAAGCGGGGAGGGGGGAGGGCAAAAGGGGTGATTAGGCACACTTGTGTGGTGATGAATTAATAATAATATAAAATAATATAATAATATAAAATAATAATATAATATAATAAAATTATAACTGAACAAAAGACTCTAGGAAGGGTAGTAGTTAAAAAATATTTCATATGAACAACGCCACCAATATTTTAAAGCACCTATACTTTTTCAAACCACTGTGTGTGTGTATTTTTTTTTACGTCAACTCTACGAAGCAGGGTAAATATCATTCTTATTTGAGAGGTGAGAAAACTGAGATACAAAGATTAAATGACTCAGTCAAAGATCGACAGACTATCAATGGTAAATGTGGGACCAGGGCTAGCTACATAACTTGTGGGGCCCAGTCAAAATGAAAATGCAGAGCTCCTTTTCAAAAGGCAGGAAAAGAGTGCTGTTAAAGGAACTAAAATATAAAGCTTTTCCTTTAAAAATGCTGTATTACTTGTAAAATATAATGGGGGTAATAGTTATAACTGAGTAACAATATAAGTTTATAAACTGCAAAACTATTTTTGGTGTCAAGTTTTATATAATATGTAATATTTTCTTAATATGTGATATCTTGATTGATTATAAGATTTTTCTGACTTCTGCAGATTCATTTTTTAGGTCATCAAAATTTATACTTTTATTAACTTCATTTTCAATTCATATAATTGAACACAATGTCAGTTGCTCTTGGCAAATGCAAGATTGCAAATAATATTTGATAATTTTTAATTTTGATAAGGATATTTCTGCTGATGAAACTGTTACTGGAACTATTAATAGTACTTTTTTCCTTATTTCTTGATACCTTAAAATTTTTTTACTGTGGTAAAATATGCATAGCATAATATTTACCATTTTAAAATGTACAATGCAGTGACATTAAGTACAGTAAGTACATTCACAGTGTTGTTCAACAATCATCACTATCCATCTCCAGAACTTTTCATCATCCCAAATTGAAACTTTATACACCTTAAATAATAATTCCCCAGTCCCCTCTTTCCCCAGCCTCTGGCAACCATTATTATACTTTCTGTCCTTATGAATTTACCTATTCTACATACCTCATAGAAGTGGAATCATACAATATTTGTTCTTTTGTTTCTGACTTGTTTCACTTAGCATAACATTTTCAAGCTTCATCCACGCTGTAGCATGCATTAATACTTCATTATTGTGAATAATGCTGCTATGAATACAGACGTGCATTTGTTTGAGTCCTGCTTTCAATTCTTTCATGTATATACTAGAATTGGATTTGCTAGATCATATAGTAATTCTATATTTAACTTTTTGAGGAAGCATCATACTGTTTTTCACAGGGGCTGCACCATTTACATTCCCCCCAGCAATGCACAAGGGTTCCAATTTCTCCACATCCTCACCAGCATTAATTTTCCATTTTTCTGACAATAGCCATCCTCCTGAGAGTGAGGTAGTATCTCACTGTGGTTATGATTTGCATTCTGTAGTGATTAGTGATATCGAGCATCTTTTCATGTGCTTATTAGTCATTTGTAGGTCATCTTTGGAGAAATGTCTATTCAAATCCCTCTTTCCCTAGTTTTTTTTACTCAGCTTTACTGAGATATAATTGACATATAACATTGTATAAATTCAAGGTGTACATTGTGTTGATTTGATACACTTATATGTTGTGAAACTACTGCCACAGTAGGGTTAGTTAACACCTCCATCACTTCACGTAATTACCTTTTCTTCTTTGTGGTGAGAACATTTAACATCAATTTTCTTAGCAACCTTCAGGTACATAATACAATGTTGTTAACTATAGTCACCATGTTGTACATTACATCCCCAGAACTTATTCATCTTATAACTGAAAGTTTGTGCCCTTTTACTGATAGCTCCCCCAATTTCTGCAACCCCCAACCCCTGGCAACCACTTTTCTACTCTGTTTCTATGAGTTCAGCTTTTTTAGATTGCACATATAAGTGATATCATACAGTATTTGTCTTCTCTGTCTGACTTATTTCACTTAACATAATACTCTCAAGGTCCATCCATGGTGTCACAAATATTCCATTGTGTGTGGGTATGTATATGTGTGTGTGTGTGCGTATACATGTAAAATATATGTATATGTATATGTATATGTAAAATATATCACATTCTCTTTACCCATTCACCTGTAAATAGACACTCAGGTTGTTTCCATGTATTGGCTATTGTGAATAATGCTGCAATGAACATGGGAGTACAGATAACTCTTCAAGATCCTGATTACATTTCCTTTGGATATATACCCAGAAGAGGGATTGCTGGATCATATGGTAGTTCTATTTTTAATATTTTGAGGAACTTCCATACTGTTTTTCATGATGGCTGCACCAGTTTACATTCCCACCAGCAAATTCACAAGGGTTTCCTTTTCTTCACATCCTTGTCAACACTTGTAATTTCTTGTCTTTTTGTTAATAGCCATTCCAACAGATATGAACTGATATCTTATTGTGGTTTTGATTTGCATTTCCCTGGTGATTAGTTATGCTGGGCACCTTTTCATGTACCCGTTGGCCATCTGTATGTCTTCTTTGGAGAAGTGCCTATTTGATCCTCTTCCCATATTTTCATCAGATTGTTTGTTTTGCTATTGAGTTGTATAAGTTCTTTAAATATTCTGGATATTAATCTCTTACAGATAAATAATTTGCAAATATTTGCTCCCATTTTCTTCTGTACAGAAGCTTTTCAGTTTGATGTAGTCCCACTTGTTTATTTTTGCTTTTGGTGTCAAATCCAAAAAAAACATCACCAAGATCAATGTCAAGGAGCTTACTGCCTATTTTTTTTTCTAGGAATTTTATAATTTTAGGTCTTTTGTTCAAGTCTTTAATCCATTTTGAGTTAATTTTTGTGTATGGTATAATATAGGGTCCAATTTTCCCAACACTGTAAAAGAGACTGTCCTTTTACCATTGCACATTCTTGGCTCCTTTGTCATAAATCAATTGACCATATATGTATAGGTTTATTTCTGGGCTCTCTATTCCGTTCCACTGATCTATGTGTCTGTTTTTATGCCAGTCCATACTGTTTTTAATAATAAAGCTCTGTAATATAGTTTGAAATCAGGAAGTGTTGTGCCTCCAGCTTTGTTCTCAAGATTGCTTTGGCTATTCCACTTGTGTGTGTGTATGTTTCTATACAAATTTAGGATTGTTTGTTCTATATTTGTGAAAAATGCCATTGGAATTTTTATAGGGATTGCATTGAATCTGTAGATTTCTTTGGGTTGTATGGGTATTATAAAAATGTTAATTTTTCCAATCCGTGAGCACAGAATATATTTCCATATATTTATGTCATCTTCAATTCTTTCATCAATGTCTTATAGATTTCGGTGTATAGGTCTCTCACTTTCTTGGTTAAATTTACTCCTAGGTATTTTATTCTTTTTGATGCAGCTGTAAATGGGATTGTTTTCTTAATTTCTTTATTTGATAGTTTATTATTAGTGTATAGAAATGCAACAGATTTTTTAATGTTGATTTTATATCCCAAAACTAAACTGACTTTGTTTATTAGTTCTAAGAGGTTTTTGGCGGAATCTTTAGGGTTTCTATATATAATATCATGTCATCTGCAAACAGTGACAGTTTTACTTCTTTATTTCTGATTTGGATATCTTTTATTTTATTTTCTTACGTAATTGCTCTGGGTAGGACTTCCAAGACTCTGTCAAATAAAAGTGGTGAGAGTGAGCATCTTTGTCTTGTTCCTGATCATAGAGGAAAAGCTTTCAGTTTTTCTCCATTGAATACAAAGTTAGCTGTTAGCTTGTCATATATGGCCTTTATTATGTCAAGGTACGTTCTCTCTACATCCATTTTGTTGAGAGTTTTATCACAAAAGGATGTCAAATTTTGTCAGACGTTCTTCTGTATCTATTGAGAATGATCATATATTTATCTTTCGTTTTGTTAATGTGGTGTATCACACTGATTGACTTGCAGATGTCAAACCATCCTTGCATCTCTGGAATAAATCCCACTTGATCATGGTGTATAATCCTTTCTGTCTATTGTTGAATTCAGTTTGCTAATATTTTGTTGAGGATTTCTGCGTCTATATTCATTGGGGATATTGGCCAGTACTGTGGTTTTCTTGTAGTGTCCCTGTCTGGTTTTGACATCAGGGTAATGCTGGCTTCGTAAGATGAGTTCTGAAGTATACCCTCCTCTTCTATTTTTTGGAAGAGTTTGAGAAGTATTGGTATTAATTTT